CAATTTTTAATCTAAAATGTTCAAATTCAACTAAACTACAAAGGGAACAAAGGGAGGTAATTAAGCTATTAGATTAGTTGGTGACCTGGTATTCAAAGAAAGATCTCCAGAGTAAAGTTTTTCTTCCAGGTGTGGTCTATTCAATGGCATACCTTCCCAATCTGGCTGAGTGTGGTTGCATTTAAGGATTGAAGCATCAGATTTGCAGCCACAGTTCAGCCTGGGAGATTGTAAGAGGCGACTAAATGGGTTCAAATAACCAAAGTTTTTATAATGCATCTCTAAGCTCCAGCAGGTGAGGTGGTTAAATTGACCCCTGATATTGCTTTAAGTTAAATGTAACACTAGAGGGTAGCCAAAATCAACTTTCCTGTTTCTGTGCCACATGACCTAAATTGTGTTGGTGTGCCATAAAACCAAACAAAACAAACAGATAAATGCATAGCATACTTGTCTTTAAAGGACAATGTTTTAAAATGACTGATTGCTGCTAAAATAAAAGGAAAACACATTCTTATAGCTCCAGCTAAATAATGAATGATAGCCTCATTTCGAAAAACATCTTATCTAAGCACATAACTGCTAAAAAAAAATTGTGCATTAATTGTACATGCAAAAAAAAAAAACATCTTAAAATTAATGAGGTAGGTCCTAAAACAATCTGGCATGACAAAGTCATAAATCATAACAACAAGTTGTAATGTACAGAAGGTGTAGACTTGTTATAGAAAATATAACAAGCAAAATAATGACATAGCTAATCTTTCAAAACTTGTTGTAAATCTTTGCAAAATGTAAACGAAAAATTGCCTGGACTGCTTCACTATTTGTTAAAGGGACTCCACTCTGAGGTCAAAAAGCCTAAAAGCATAAGATTTAAAATTCTTACATAGATCAAATGAAGCACTTTAATGAAAAAAATCTGAAAAGGAAAATAAATAAAGAAATATACTCAGAAGCAGACGACGCTTTGTGCGATTTTAGTCCGATTTCAGTGAAAACTGTTGCAGTGAAAAGTGTTGTAATGCTTTTCAGTTAAATATGCGCCCTTTTGCACAATGAAAATATTTATTTTGGAAAAATGGAGTTAGAGAATGATCTGAAAATTTACACACAAGTTCTTGGTCTAGATCTACATCAGATGGTACACAAATCTCACAATAATATTTAATCAGTGGACTCCCTTTAAAGGTAAAGGTAAAAAGGTATAATAATATATGTCATATATGTTCATAGAAGGATTGTGCAATTCAAGTAGGAGTACAATAAATTTCCATTTTACATGCTGACATACTTGAACCATCATCTGAACCGGACTTGCCTGAACCCGACAAATGCCTGTAACTGCTACTGCTGGCCGGTTCAGGGACTTTGATTCTTTCAATGTAAGAAAGCTATATATTTAGCTATAGCTTACTCGATACTCAGGTGTGACTTTGAATCCATCAAAAACAAACAAACCTCTCTAAAATTTCCTCATTTTCTTTGAATTTCAACTTTCTCTTATTTTTCTCATAGTATAATCTCAAATATTCTCATCATTGGCTATGATAGCTAATGATAGCTCCCAGTAAATTCTTTTATATATCATTTTGATACCATTTTGATAACAGGCTCATTTTACTGGAGATCAGTTTTTTTATTCATGTTTTTTTTTAAATACATAACATTTTAATCATGCTAGCTTCTAGATATTTTATATCTTGCTAATTTATATCTAGATTACATTACATGATTACAGCTTTTACCCAATTATCTTCAATGTAAATCTTTAATGTACAGCAGTAAGACACAATATGTTACAAGATAGTTAACTGGTGATTTTTTTTCCCTCAAATGTTGATAAAACGGAATTCCCTGAGCAATTACTTTAATTTGTTGGAATTCCTAAGAACTCTTCGTCTATTTTTTTTCATAATTCATTATGTATATATAATATACTTGCTATTTTAGAAGTTTTTTTAACAAACATAGTTAAAATATGTTATATAAGTTGTTGTTTTTTCAATATTCCATAAATGCCATATGGCCCATGAGAATAATAATGCATTAATATATGGCAAGACATCATATCCAATATGGATCATTCTTTTAGACTCAATGAGCCTCATTGGCTGTGACAATGTGGCTTCCAATTAAGAAGACCTGCTTCTGCAAACAGGGCATCTTTGGTCAGCTTCATCAACTAGTAAAGCTTGAAAGCAGTTAGAAGACCTTTACAGTGTTAACATGACTAAATTATAAAACTTGATCATCAAAACGAATGTATGGTATGGTATGGTAAGGAATTGGTATGTTATGGTACAGTATGGAACAGTACAGTATGGAACCAGGTATGGTATAGAATTGGTATGGTAATGGTATGGTATTGGTATGTCCCCGTATGATATGGTATGATAGTGGTACGATAGTGGTATGTTATGGTATGCTATGGTATGGAATGGTTCTTAATTTTCAAGCACATTTAGTTAAGCTGTACATATAACAATACCTTAATGACTTTCCTCATTAATTATCAATTATAAAACGAGGTGCATGTGTATTTTGATCAAATTTAATTGTTTACAGATATAATACCTGCTGTCACCATTTATTTAAACAATGAAAATTTCATATACAGTTAATTATATAATACACAACAGAACAGACTGCAAGAAGATTCTCAATTCATGATAGAGGCAAAAAAAAAACAAAATCAAAATTTGCAGAAAAAAGTTTTTTGGAAAAGATTCAATTCAATTAAAATTGTAAGTGCATTTAGCGGCACCTTGTTTCTTTCAATTTTGTGCAAAATTTGAAAGTTGTATCTTCAGTTTTACTAAGGTAAGATTAACAGGGTTATTTTCCCCATTTTAGTGACATCAACATTTTAAAGGTAATGTCAACATATCAATATGGCGACTTCCAGCTGTATCGATCAATGGTGGATGAAGTCTTGTGTTTTATTTCAGGCACAAATATAGGCATCTCCGAGCAGAACCACTGATCTTCTGTATGAACAAGCTGGATGAAAGAATTCCAAGTCCCTGACGAGATTCAAACCTGACCACCAGTGAGGGGCAAATGATTTAAAGATGGTGATGAGAGAGAGATTCAGGGAAAAAGAGAAACCTAAGAAAGAAATGAACCCCTTTTTTGTAAAAAACATTAAGAGGACTTGCAGAACATAAAACTGAACATTCAATTACTTAAGTGTCAGTTTTTCATTTTGTTTCTAAGAAAGTATAAATGCAAAATTTGTAAACTATATTCACATTTTCTTTCATAAAAGCTCACCTTAAGAAAAAAACAAAAAATATGAAACTTTGAAAATGTGTTGCTTCAAATGACATTAAAAGAAAACTGTATAAGTAAAAACCATGAAGGTTCAAGTCTTCAAAGTTTAGTCTCACGATTCAAGTGAGAACAAAGTAAAAAGGATTAACAAAAAATTCCGAAACCTGACAGTTAACATGGGGAATTAATTATGCAAAAATGCATGCCAAAAACAGATACAATGCTGGTATAATCACATCCTAAGGAAGTTGAAAGGTTTTTTGTACACTTGTTGTTATTTAATACCTGACAGGTATTATATTTATGATTTCCTCTTTAACTTGGTATTCGGCAGATGATTATCTAATTTTTTATTTTTTTCAAAGAATTTAAAAATTTCTTTTTTTTTTTATTCTGGTTATATGCTGTTATTTTTGTACTTTACTTAGAGTTTTTTTTTATCCGACAACTTGCTTTGTTTCATATTAGCCTGGGATTAAGGCGTTGATATATTATGCTTATTCATAGCATACAGTGGCTATTTCATACTCGTTTGTGTTTTTGATGTTGATTTGCTGAACAGAAGCACATAAAAGAATGGAAAGAACCCAGGCTTGTACATGTCATATGTGCAGGATGACTTAAATTAGTATAATACTCTAGAGGCATGATTAATTGTTATTATATCCATTTAATTGCTCATCAAATATAATTTATCACTTTTACCTGATAAGCCCACCTGGCTGTTTTAGGACATTTATGACAACAATCTCAAATTATCAATAACAATTATCTCTCAAATTCAGACCAACCTTATGATAACTGCAGTGTGCAATGCCCCTTAGTGGGGGGTACTTAACAATGTAAATAAAATACTAGATAAATATCTTAATTGTAAGTTTGACATTTTCAGTGAAAAACAATACTTTTATTTCTAGTATCATCAAATTTGATATCATAGTATTTACACACAGTGTGTAAACAAAACATTGGGTGATATCAAAACTGCAGGGATAACAGACAACTTGTTATAAATACACTTGACAGATATTTCCTAAATGTCAATATTGTAGTTAACATTAAACAATTACAAGCATTGTGGGCAATTACTCCTCAAACATTTGTCAACAAACGAAATGTTATCGGCCACAAAACATTGCTGATTGACATTTGAAATAATTGCTGCAACTATTTAAAACCTTTGGGTTGTTAATTTATGCCATGAGTGATTTCCATCTGATGCCAACAAACCGTATTTACATGAATATTAATCTATTCCATGCAGCCATATTGCTTATCATAATGCCATCGAAATTTTGATAGCCATTTTGCTCCATCAGACATAGAAAGTTGCATGCTCTGAATGTACAGTGAGTGATACATAAATATATTTCACTCACAAACAAAATCCAAGAAAATAAAATATTTCACTCATAAAAAACGAAGATATTTAAATTTTTAGAAACACACAAAACAGCTTTAAGATTAATTTCCAAAATATACCTCACTGTACTCAATATGTCTTGAGATACAGTGAAAAATATAGATAATATCTTACTGATCAGTAATTGTCATATAGAAGCTTATGATATGGCAATAACCTATAGACACATTAGATTCATTCTCATACATGTTTATAATATGCAAGTGATGTCATAATGACCGATGGTGAAGTATGTGATATCAATTATATCTCACGGGCTAAAGTTTTTCATCTGGAAGAATGAAATATAAAAGTTACTTACACAGATATGTCAGATCCGTTCCAGCATGTGCCACTCAGTGGATCCTGCTCAAACTTTGCCTGTTCGGCACAAATTTCATCGGCTAAATGGCTGTACAGACCTTTGGAGTCGACAAGTTCTAGCGTAACTTGCATTACATCAATTGATAGAGGTCCAGTCACCTTAAATAAAGAAGCAAACTGTTTTAACATTTAAACGTTTAAAGGTCCCAAGAAATATGACAGACTTATCACTGGATCCTTTTTTTAAAGGCAGTACATTGCGACTCAGAAACAAATAAATTTTTACATAACAAACATGAATTTTATAATGTTTAATTAATGGTTTCACAGAATGTTAGATGCTTGTTACTTCTGGAAAGTAGTGTATATATATGTGATATAATTTGTCATAAAAGAAGCAAAATTAAAACAGGACAGTTTCCACTTTCAAAATATATATGATGTAGAATTGGCAAGCACAATAGGATGAAATGATTTTTTGTTGCCAAAATCAGGGCAAAATGATATATCGCAAAGAATATTGACTGGTTTAATTTTTAATAGGTATCAAAAAACTTTGAACCAGTGAAATAAGTTTTACAGTCTGGACAATGTAATTCTGATATTTTGAAGGTTTGAACAATGGATGATACCATTCATGTGGAAAATTTACCTCTTCCAATGCCTGTAACTTTGAAAAATCTGGTGTCTTGGCTTCAACTGTTGAAGGTGTTGTGTCCAATGGTATACTACACAATTCATGTGCCTGAAATATAGAAAAATATTTCATATTTAAACTTGTATTACATTAATTACGTATGATATGATGAACTCCTTTGACTTTGAAGATGACCAGTGGTAAGTTATATATTAGTAAAACAATTGCATTTTAAGCCAATTAACAATGATTATGGCTTACAGTGACATTATGCTCATTTTTCTTATTGTCAAGTTGAACTAAATTGACTATATATTTCAAAAGATTGACCGTTACGTACAATGGTGACTGACCATTTTAACAGCTGATACTGAAAAATGTTTAGGATAAATTATAAATCTGCCTAAAATGTAAAAAGACTGTCCCACTTTTTTTTAGAAAATAGAATGTTACAGGTTAAATTTTCAGATGGATATTTGACGTTAATTATCAGTCATGCAAAGTAAATGATAAAATTGAAAGCAATTAATTATAACAACATGTAAACTTTATTTTGACTTTCACCTATTCACTCAATGTATATCTTTACATGGGCGTGATGTCACTTTAAATTCAGAAGCTATTAGTGTATATAACAAAATATACTCAAAATAATGTTTCTTATTCATAGACACAAGAGGACATTTTCTTTTCTTTTATTGAAGACCATATTTAATAAAGCACGGTGATTCACTTCCTTACTTTGCACGATTTTAATATGACTTATTCCGTGGGGGCAGACATAAGCTGTCTCACGTAGTAGTAGGCGAATTAAATGATTAGTACACCACAACTAAACACGTTTAGGTCTCTTAAATGTAACTCAAATAATTAAAGTCTGAAAGAGTGAAATTAATCCACCATTAAGTACAGTTTAAATGACATATAGCTACGCCAGTCATCGGGAAAATCATTTTATCCAGATGAGCGAATTTTCGACATATTCGGTTTCCGCTTAATAAAACGCATTATTCAAATTTTTGGTAAGATTTTTTTTTTAAAGAAAAAAAATAGGCCCCTGTCTGCCTTATTATCATAATAAAAACATGGGTCATACAAAATCTCTATACAACATATAATTATCAATGGAAATATCTTTATTTACCGTTTAACTTTTCACCTTTTAATAACAAAAAGAATTTTCATATCTAAATAACTTTTCTTGCAGATCATTGAGACTCCTTTATCATTTGATGAATTATTATTTAGAGTTCAAACGTCTGAAAATTCCATGTTAAATTGAAAGCTTTCAGGTTTGATTTGAAACTTTAAATTACATGTTGCTAGTGGAATTGAAAGAAAAGATAAGAAAATATATATTAAAGAAATTCAACACTGATGGGAGTCAGTGAGTGGGGTGATGTGTATATAGCTCCAGCATTGCCTTCCTCAATTTGTAAAAATTGTATCAAATATTGTTTTTATTTAGAACACAATAAAATGTATCAGCTACAAAACACAATACATGTAAATACCTCTTAATGACAATTTATATCTTTCACAGAACACATACAAAAAGATGAATTGTCTTTTGTAGAACACATAATAAAATTAATGATTGTTATGCCAATTCTCTTCAAATAATTATATGAAGTAAAATAACTGTCTGCATGAGCTGTGCTAGTTCTTGAACAGTCTCGCATTTAAGATCTATTTCGAGCACGCTCAAAGTTTATTACCTTTTCGGAAATCAATTCTAATATCCAATATTTGACATGACTGAAAGCATTTCTGTCAGAACCGAAATAAAATCACAGAAATTGTATACAAGTCTGACTATAGAAAATGACACATGGTTGATGAGGAAGATTTCAAAATGATCCATTTCCTTTGACATTAATGTTTATTTCTTTGGAGCATTTTAACAGATTGTAAATTATCTCAATTTAGTATTTACAGAGTTATTGATCTTGCACTCTCTAAACGTTCGAGGAGGGGGGGGGGGGGGGGGGGAAAAAGCAAAAAGCATTTGAAAGTTTTTTTTCATTAAATGATTCCATTCTGGGCGCCAGCAACAAATAACTATTCATAAGAAGATTCAAGACAGTTATCAGAAATTGCGCAATTTTCTCAATGTTTCAGAAACTGTTCAATCTTGGCATAATACATCTTTTCTATAAACTGCAAGTTGCTATAATGCATATGGAAGATTTATATAATAGCCGCCAGCCAATTTTGTTCTGTAAAATTCTTAGCAGGACATTTTAACTGCTTGCTTAAAGAATTGGTAAGAAAATTTAATATTTACTGGACATTATAGTCAAGAATAATTGAATAGCAAATTTTAGATAATAAAAGTTCAGGCTATTTCTTTTTTAATGCAGAGGATGTATAAAAAAAGAATAAATAGAATTTTCTGTAAAAGATCGAATTACATGCCGCCGCCTTCCCGGGACTCTAAGACAGAACTTTGATACAAAATTGTCCTGCTTACAGTCACTAAGTAAATTTGTTTAAGCAGCACTCCTCCAGATTCATGCTAATTTTCATGATTATTTTGAAAATGTATTAAAAAGTAAAATATTGTAAAGTGAACAAAGAAAATAATTTTCACACTGCAAAAAAGCATGTGTAAAATTACCAAAAAAGAAAATTAGCCACTTTGACTGCGTTATATAATAACGCATTAGAAAAATATGGTGAAAATACTGTGAAATCCATCATAAATTGCACATAACATGGAAATTTCTACTTTAATCTTCAATCTTTTTACTTTTCTTAAAATGTCTGAACTTTTTTAAAGTAAATATTTTTGGTTCATCTGAAGGTGTGCAGCTTTAAAGTTTGCAATGACTTCAACTCAGCTGGCACCTATCAGTATATACGGTCTTGACAGATTGCAATGAGAAGTTTAGACTAGCATTTTGGCTCTACACTTTAATGGCATGGGTAAGTCATTCACTGTTGACATTAAAAAAAAAGTTAATAAGGTAAAAGATTATGTAAACATACCATATCAAACAGTTAAACATTAATGTATTTTGTTAAAAGATCCTAAATTGTTCTATACATAGAGATACAAGTATGTTTTGGATTAATTGAAGTACCTGTTAATTTTGGAGCCTTAAATATGACTGAGTCTTAATGACTATTCCAGCCATAATATACACTCTTTTATAACATATCTTTTCTGATTCCCTGATGAAAATACACTGGTCATCTACAAATTTTGCTATACATGAATTATGTATCAATGAAATATCATCTCCATGTATTATAAACTTCAACCAAAAATGTTTGTATCATACTTTAAACCCGGAGAGCTATTAAAGTTATTTTAGTTAACAGCAATATAACCAACCATTATATGCCCCATAATATTTTATATAACATGAAAAAATACCACATTAAATTGATCTGAGTAGCAATGGATAGCAATATTATAATGTTCCATCAGGCCTGCAATACATGTCTGTTGCAATTATGTAATTATTAAAGGGACTCCACTGAGGTTTTTTGACATGACGGGACTGGAAATATTTTTTCTAGATTATTGTAGGGTTAGACCAATTAAACTAATGTGTGCAAAAATTCAGATCATTTGCTCAATCCCTTTCCCTTGAATAATTATTTTTTTATTGCGAAAAATTACCCAAAACAGAAAAGCATTGCAAAACGCGCTAGGAATAGCACAAATTACGATTCTAAATTTATTTCTGAGCATGTTTCTTAATTATCTTTTGCATAATTTTCTGTTTTAAGTGCTCCAGCTAATTTATGTAAGAAAATTAAATTCTACAATTTTATGGACTTTGGACCTCTGTGGAGTTCCTTTAATGAAAGACCTTAGCTGATATTAATGTCCTTTATTTCAGTAGCTGCAGAAAATATTTGGTCATTTTTTCCTGATATTTATGCATGTATCATATGTACAGAACATCTTAATTTGAAAAGTTATGACAATAATATATGCACTGAACTTTAAATTTGACCCCTTACACTAGTTGACCTCTGCCACAATAACCCAAAAATTCATTATCATTAATGTTCCGGTCAAAATATTTGACAAGCATTATCTGTACAGACTATTAGTGAATAAAATTAAGTAATTTAACTCCTAAAGGTGACAGTATAATAACTTGCATATATGATAAGAGATTCAGTGGTATGAAATTTGTTGTTTGACTTGCATACATTGTACATACTAAAAAAGTGTTGCTTCATTTTTGTTGTTGGTGATGTAATGTTTTAAATAATATTTCAATAGATACATAATTAAAACACTTTGCAGAGTCCTATTAAACAAAACAAAACGGAATAATTAAATAAAGTGTATAAAGTGTCTCTTAGTGTTTGAACTTAACAAGCAAAACAATTATGATAAAGAAATGTATTGAACATTTCCAAAAGAGCTACAGGCGCATTCACAAAATCAATGCTAAATGTTTAAAACCTTTACGTAAAATTGCAGCAAAATATTATTATTTATCAATCTGTTTACATACAAAATTAATGCTATTCTATATGTTGAATCTCTTTCAAGAATCAACATTCGAACAACATAATTTTACAGTTTATAAATTTTATAAAAAATATTTCATCAGACATTATAACTTTAAATTTTAATACTTTTTGGACATTTATATTCTCTTAAAAATGTGACATTCACACTTTTGTGATATTCAACCTCATTGAAAGTAATCTAAATCCCGGACATTTTTACCACCGGGATGATAAACTGTATCAAATTAAGAGAAAGATCAACAAAAAAATATTGATACAGGTCGCAAAAAAATCCATACGCATTACTTCATATCTCATGAGGTCACCTTGTGACAGTGTCTCCCCGCCCCTATCTCTACCATTTGTCGTATCACTGTGTATTCAAGGATCAAATAAATAGCAATACGTCTGTCAGGCTATCTTATTACTAATGTCCAGCAAATAGCTATGTCAATATTTGTCTACCGTGAACCCGCGGCCCGCTACCACTTTCTCTTATCATAATCATATCATAATACAAACAGACCCGAGAATTAAATCTTCAATATTACATCATTGTGCTGCTGTTTCCATTATTTTTCTAGAATATTGCTAAACTTATTCAATACTTTATACAATATAACTCT